ATCATGTTTTCTTCTTTCATGTTGTTTGCAATTGTTATGGCTGTTTGATTCTAAGAGTCACCTGTTGTGTATTTTTGATTATGTAGGGACCTGTCACACAACAACCTCACTGGCCCTATCCCTCCAGAGATTGCTAAGTTAACCATTCTCGAGGTAGTGGATTTCTCTTTTAACCAAATTTCTGGGAGCTTGCCTAAAGAACTAACCAACCTTTCCCACCTTGTCACATTTAATGTATCCCACAACCATCTCAAAGGTGAACTTCCAGTAGGTGGCTTTTTCAACACCATTTCTCCCTCATCTGTTGTGGGTAATCCATCCCTTTGTGGTTCTGTTCTCAACCACTCTTGCCCTGCGGTCCATCCCAAGCCTCTTGTACTGAACCCCAATTCATCTGACTCGAGTCATGGTTCTGTTAATTCGCTTGGTCGTAAGAGAATCATGCTCAGTATATCATCTCTCATTGCCATTGGAGCGGCAGTTTTCATAGCTCTTGGAGTAGTGGTTGTCAGTATTCTCAATCTACACGTGCGCTCTTCTATGGCACTCTCTGCTGCAACTTTCACCTTATCTGGTGGCGATGACTATAGCCATTCACATGGTACAGAAGCCAACCTCGGCAAACTTGTTATGTTCTCTGGTGATGCAGATTTTGTTGCTGGAACTCAAGCGCTGCTCAACAAGGGTAACGAACTTGGACGTGGTGGTTTCGGAGCCGTTTACAAGACAGAACTCGGAGATGGACGTTCTGTTGCTATCAAGAAGCTCAACATTACAAGTTTGATCAAGTCACAAGAAGATTTTGAGAGTGAAATGAAAAGTCTCGGAAGCATCAGACACCAGAACCTAGTGGCACTTGAAGGTTATTATTGGACTCCTCCTCTTCAGCTCCTGATTAATGAGTATGTATCTGGTGGAAGCTTGTACAAATTACTCCATGAGGAAAGCTCTAAAAGCAGTCTCTCTTGGCAGCAAAGATTCAACATTATTCTTGATACGGCCAAGGGCTTAGCCTATCTGCACCAGCTGAGCATTATTCACTACAATATGAAGTCAACCAATGTCCTCATAGACGATGCTTCTGCCAATGCCAAAGTTGGAGATTTTGGCTTGGCTCGTTTATTACCCGTCTTGGATCGTTACATCTTGAGCAGCAAGATTCAGAGTGCACTTGGATACATGGCTCCTGAATTTGCATGCCAAACAGTAAAGATAACTGAGAAATGTGATGTCTATGGATTTGGTATCTTGATTCTTGAGGTGGTGACAGGGAAAAGACCCGTAGAGTACATGGAAGATGATGTGGTTGTATTATGTGACATGGTGCGGGGGGCATTGGAAGAAGGCAGGATAGAAGAGTGCATTGACCAACGGCTCCAAGGTAACTTCCCCGTCGAAGAGGCAATTCCAGTTGTGAAACTTGGTTTAATATGTGCATCTCAAGTTCCATCAAATCGACCAGATATGGAAGAAGTGATCAAAATTTTGGAGTTAATCCGATGTCCATCAGAAAGTCCAGAGGAGATAGAGTAATATTATAAGTTGTTTGTGGAAAACAAGATTATAGAGAATGAGTTTTGTGGTGAACAGGAATTCAGTTAGTTTCTTAGAAGACAGGAAATACATTTGGAGAAGGTCACTATCCTGTTGTTATTTACCATATCCAAATATCTATCTTATTTGTTAAATCTTTTATGTGGTGTTATTTAAATAACTGGATTCCTCTTCACCAGCTCCAGTTTGGGGACCTTTGTTAGATTTTGATAGACTGGCATTGTCTTTATGTAGTATTGAGACATCCAACTTCTGTCTCTGAATTGTTTGTGCTTGTTTGATGTTGTTGTCCATACAAAGCTGAAAAATACATCCTTTGTATTTTTGTAGCAGAAGCCTTTTTAAGCCCCCACATGGATTTGTGATGAAATGAAAACATCAAAGTAGGCCACCATTCAGTGGCAGTTCTTGAATTTCTTTTTACACAAATTAAGCATACTGCCCCAGCGGCTTTTGTTTATTGGTAGAGGGGTAGAGCACAACGTGTGATATGTGAGTTAGGTGTGTATTACTGGTTCGAACTTTGCCGCAAACAAAAGCCTAATATTTAAATGGAGAAAGGTAAAGGGGCGGCTTATTCTATGCGGAGTTTTGAACTATGCTCTAATGGCCTCGGTAGATTTCAGTTATAAAAAAAAAGTATACCACATCATCAGTGGCGTAGCCACATACAGTGAAGGGTGGTCATTCGTAAAAAAATTATATTGTGTATATAGAAAATTATATTGTATATATAGGTTAAATTATTTTTTAAATGTGTATATTAAATTTTAAATTCCCATTAACATCATTCTGTTAACACATCCCCAACTCACCTCCAGTGCCAAATAATTATCCACTTTGTGGTTTTCAAGAGTTTACTGTACATTATTTATAGAACTATTATTTTATATTTCGAAACTAGAAAATGTTTTCGTGTATTAATTTTGAACATGCAACTTTTTTCGAGGGTAATAATTTATAGGTGGGGTGGGTCTTATCCCTTTTTTTGAATAATCAGAAAAGGTACCGAAAGAATGCATTCACTAGTCTACCACACTTGTTGTATATAGTAAGAGAGATCGAAGTTGGTGAAATAATTAATGCTTCGATGTCAAGTCTTTACTACAATGAATTAAAGACTAGACGAGGACCTAATGATTTACTGCAATATGGGGGGGACCTTAACTCTACTTGTCCCATGTGCATGAAAATGGCCCAGTTTTAACAATAAAGAGCTTTATATATTTATGCAAAAGTGAAATTTAAACGCAACAATATACTTGGTTGATAAATATAAAAGATGCAAAATCCTAAAGCAAAATTGATGTTTCTTGCTCTACAAGTCCGACAAACAATATTATTTGTGCAAGTTCAAATGATTATTGAAGCACTTGTCCTGCCATACTTGGTCTTAGTTTAAGCATTATGCCTAATCAAGAAATAGCCATCATTAACCATTATAGCAGAGCCTACCAGCATTCAATTCGTCTATTCATAATTCACGTCCAACTTAATCTTGGATCGATTATGGTGTAAGTAATACATTTCTAAATACTATCATCAGACCCTCCATGATCAGGGGGACTCGCTTACGACAACAGAGATGATTAAATTTCCTAGTGTTTCAACTTTTTATTATTAGTTGATTTCTTTATATTTGTCCAAACTTTAGTGGATAAAGCAATTCGATACATGTGTTGATGGGAGGATGCACAACTATATAATTGAACCCATAACTTTTGATGTGGAACATAAATTTATGTATGAAACATCACTGAAATTGCGATATATAGTATATGAACCATTTTAACTTTAAAAATATAATAAGTTCAATGCTAAAAACCTTAGAATTTAAACCATAAAATTTAAATTCTGGATCCGCCTCTGATGGGAGGCAGCAAATATATTATTGAATTAATCAAGGTACGATTATAAAATAAATAAAAAATACATGCGAGAAAAAGAAAAAGAAAAAAAAAGGGTATCTTGGACAGCGAACCAAGTGTATAGAACAAGAAGAATTTTCTTTCAATTCTTTCTCTTTTGGCTTTTCACTTTATCAGGACACAATGATGGATTCCATGTTAAACTTTCACTAATCTGCTAGTGCTCTCTTTGCTTTACTAAAGGTTTTTCACGAGTGGGGACAAAGCTTCTATAACCTTCAATCTGTTTATTCACTTCATGGAATAAAGTGAAGACTTGGCCAACGTACCCTATACAAAAGTAAAAGGGAAGTAAGTGTTTTGACAACTTTTACAACCAAAACCAAAAACTTAGAAGAGTGCCATAGGTAAACGATGACAAAAATTCAAGAACTTCTACTTTGTAAACTATTCGTGTACTTCACCCCAGTTACAAGTGTTACTCCACTTGCTAGAAAGAAGATTGTAATGTAAGACTCCGATTTTCAACTCAACTTTCACCGAGTACCTACTACTTTCTACCAGCATATGTAACGGGTAACTTTGCCCACATCCAAAATAAATGACACATTTCTAAATTTGGAAATAATCCAACTTTAAACTCTTCATTTTACTCATTTTACCCTTAATGAGAAGCTTTTATAACCACACACATGTTATGGCCCCACAAAGATTTTACCCCTAAAGCTTTTAAGACCATAAGTTTCAAAAGTCTTCTTTTTTTCTTAAATTTCGTGTTTAGTCAAACTACCTCATCTAAATTGAAACGGAGGGAATACCTGGTATTATTAAACTCTTAAGGGTCGTTTGGTTGGGAAACAAGTTATCCCATGATTAATTATTAGTTATTCCACCCTCCCATGAGAATAAAAAAAATACTACAATTCCGAGATAACTAATCCCGGAATTAGTTATACCCACACCATCGCACATAAGGGGTGGGGGGTATCAGACTCTCAGTCAAACGACTCGTCTGCAATCCAAACTTTACAAAGTTGGTGTATGAATCTATGGCTAACTATGTACATTTTCAGTAAAAGATTTTTTACCAAGTCAACCTGAAAGAAGAAAACATATACACTAATCTTTTTTCACTTAGAAAAACAAACTCAGCAGCATGAGTACTAGAAAACAGATGGGAACTTTCACAATTCAGCTATCTAGGATTTGATGTCACGCCAATTAAAAAAGGACTCACTTAAGAGAGTGTCCAAAAACAATATGATAAGATAGTGGAACATTTTCAGCCTTTAGGTTCCAAGGCAAGTGCTCTTTTTGGTAGATTGATTGATAACCTCCTATTACCTTTTCTCCGTTCATCCTCAAAGTCTAAAGGTCGCAATCTATTCTAAATTTGTTCCTCAAATTATAAACAGCAGTTATAGTAAAAGAAAAAAATCTTCTTTAATGCTAAATCCTAGGCTTTCAAGGATCAATCAAAGAGAAGCTAGTCCACAAGACTTCTATCAGTGTAAACTTCCAAAACGACGAACGCAACAAGCAGTTGAACCACATTAGGGTTTAAATCTCAAGAAGAAATTGAGCAAGTAGGTATAATTTGCTATATTGCACTTCAATTAAAGGATCATTCCAAATCGTGTACAAAACTCGTTTCAACAATGAAAACACATATGTAACAACATATTGTAGTATCTAGAACCAAAACCTTCTGTCAAAAGAATGTGCTAAAAGAAAGAATATCCAAATTGGTAAAAACAAAAATAAAAAGTGAAGATTTAAATTACAAAAAGGTCTTTAAACGTTGTTTAGCTCTTCCGTGGTGTATGTACCTCCTGTAACAATAAAAAAAACATTCTTTCTCTTGGATATTCTATTACTAATCATCCCAGTCATTTTCCCATCCATCTTTTTTAGAAGACCTAGACGTGAGGCCATTAGCAGAGATATTCCCATAAGTATGTCCACCTGGTGACTTCACTGCATTCTCCTCATCCCAATCGTCATCCCAATCCTGATCCCAACCATCTGCTGCAACAATATTTGTAGCTGAGGCAGATTCTGGTACTCCCATCTCTAATTCCTGATATGGAACTCCATCTTGATGTTTCTTCTTCCTTAGCTTGCAGCAAGCCCATGTCCCACCAAAAAGTAGGGTTACAACAAAAAGGAAGTATGCACCATAGACAGGGGTCACGCGCTTAGAATAAAGAGAAACCTGCTGCAGAATATCCATAGATACACGGCGGTCCAATTGAAGCCTGCAACTACCATCTCCAGCATTCAGCACTATTTCAGAACCTTTGCCCATGATTGATGAGATATCGATCTATCATAGCAGATTTATAATATTAGAAGGGACCTCCAGCATAGCATAACATATGGAATAAGCAAACTTGTACTCGCACAAAGTTGCTTAATTAAGAACACAGTACACATAGGACGTCAGCCACCATGGCTGGAGCAAAAGTAACAATTTGTAAGTGTTTGGTAGAAATTACAAGTACAAAAGGTGCATAGCGAATTTGTGTGAGATCATTTTTAGACAAAGTGGAAACTTCTGAGATTTTAGAACTTCATTTCAACGCAAAATGCACTGATATATAGAAGTAGTTATAACTAGTGTCTGTAATTTCAAATTATACAATCTCCTTATTTTATTTTAGTTACCACCATAGTTCTTTTTTTTGGGATAATCGAGAAATCCTCGACAGTGGGTACACAATTCGAAACGCAGTGGATAATGGTCCCGTCCCTTTATCCTTCTCCACTTAAATACCAAGCTTTTTTCTGTCGCGAACTTCAAACTGTGGCGTGCGCCTCATCAACGCATCACGCTGCGCTCTTAACACTGAACCAGAACACCAGAAGTTCTTATACAACATTCAAGTAAATTCATAATCAAGTGCGTAGCACAGGCTCTCTTTATGGCTAGATTGCGGAACACCTCATACAACTTGGGGGATATCACGGAGGAAACTTTTACTTCAGAAGCTTGCTCAAATGCAGATGCACTTTATTGTATAGGACGTTGTAAACTAGATCATAATCGTTGTTACCATTCTCAAAAAAACAAACTAGATCATAATCTGTCTTAGTTTGTGCACAAAATCAGTTTAGATGGCAGACAATACCTTTACCGGCCTTGTGGCTAAGATCAAGTTTATATGACAGACAACTGGCAGTTTCTGCAAATGAGCCAGCATATTTCAGGTCAAAGAAATAAGATTATTCGTTTTCAGTGGAAAGAATTATCATTTCGGGTTCAACCATTTCCTTCCTGATTAAAAAAAAAGAATTATTATTTCGGGTTTACCTATTTCAAGTTGGCTTCTGAATCCTACAATAAAGATATGCACTTCAAGTTTCACAGCATCTCTTTCCTTTCTTTTGTTTAAAAGAAAGTTTGCAAATATTTCTTCAATGTACCAATTTATGACAAAGCTGAGTAAACAAAAAACCCTTCAGCCACTGTTCTGTCACCTGAACTATGCGATGCCACTCAACCTGAAGTTTGATGCCCGTAAGACACTAAGAATAATGCTTAAAACTCCTTATCAAAAATGAGTTGTTCCTAAAACTGTATTATCTTTATTCTCCTATTTATCCAGCTTTTGTCAAACTCAAACCTCCCTATTTCCAGTTACACCACATACACAAGAATTTTCTTGAGTATCATAGTCATTTTTCTCAGATATCAAAATCCCTTTGACACCTAGAAGACAAGAAACCCTAATCTATACTATCCTAAGCTACTTATCATCCTCTAATAATCCACTTTTCATTTTGCTTTGTGGGCCTCATCCCATTCATACAGGCCTTGTAGCCCAACTTTACAGCCCTGGAACTCCAGCAATATAAATCTTCACTTGTAAACCAACTAGTATCTCAAATACATTTGATTTTTAGCAAAGATGCACAGAGCTGTTAACAAGGCTCAAGTGTACCAATCTGTTACATGAGAAAAGTAACTCTTAAAATCTCATTCCTACACTTGAA